AGTCTTAAGTTCTTTTTTTTTTTAAAGATGACCGGTAAGGGGATCTTAACCCTTGACTTGGTGTTGTCAGCACCACACTCAGCCAGTGAGCGAACCGGCCATCCCTATATGGGATCCGAACCCTCGGGCGGGAGCGCCACCACGCTTCCCAAGCGGCGCACTATCCAGTGCGCCACCGGGCCGGCCCTGTGTTAAACATTTTTGATGAACCACCTTTCCAAGTTCTTTTAGTAATAATGATGGGGTACTTGATCTCATTTCCTTAACTGCAGGCTATTGGCATCATTAGATACCTAACGTTTTAAGAAAAAAATCTAGAAGTAAACTTTAAAAAACCATGGAAGGTCGAGTCTTGACTGTAGTTTGGCCCAGCTGACAGACCTTTCAATCTACAGGTTCAGAGTTTAGAACTGATGGTCTGGGCCGGCCCGTGGCTCACTCGGGAGAGTGCGGTGCTGATAATACCAAGGCCCCGGGTTCGGATCCCATATAGGGATGGCCGGTTCGCTCACTGGCTGAGTGTGGTGCTGACAACACCAAGTCAAGGGTTAAGATCCCCTTACCGGTCATCTTTAAAAAAAAAAAGAACTGATGGTCTGAGTGGACCACATCACATCACACACTCCTTCTGCCTCTGAGCCCGGCCAACCCACCCTCCCTGTGAGCAGTATGTACTCCCAACAGAAAGAAAGGAGAGGGAGAGGAGAGCAAGAGAGACGGCGTTATCTGTAAGAAAAGTCAGTATATTTATGGTTTGCTTTATAAAAGTTACTATAATACAATGGTACATAGTATTGAATTCACAAAAATATGAACAAATATTTACAGCAAGACACACCCACAACGGAAACACTTCTCTTCAAAACAAGTTACGTACGGATGACAGAGTCTATATGCACAAACAGCCCTAAAACTTATCAGTTCTCTTCTTTGCAGGGGGAGGGAGGGAGAGAAAAGAAAAAAAAAAAAAAGAAAAAAAGCAGAACCGCTTGACTCTTCAAAAGCAGAGATTTGTTCAATAAAAATGAAGGAGTTGAAAGAAAAATGAGCCAATGCGTTTCTGGATTATTGCAAACTATTCCAGGGTTCCTGGGGAGAGCGGGGCCCAGCCCGTTGCCCATAATGAAGGCCGGCCAAGGTCAACGAGGCCAATGGTTGGGCAAGGTGAGGCCAGGGTGAAGGGCGAGGCTGCCCCCACTTCTTTCTTTTATGGGATAGGTTCCCCCACTTCTTTCTTTTATGGGATAGGTTCTGGAAGGGATAGAAAAGACAGCCCCTTGGGGGCTGTGTAAGTAACTTAAATCAGCAGTCTCTACAAACTACACATTTCTTCATGTGAAAAATAAATATTTCCTTGGTTGCACAATTAGGCAGAAAACTGCAAATGGAAGAGAAGGTCGCTGCTGTGCCCTAGCACCCACTCTGTGTCTTAATGCCACTGGTTTCCTCGACCTTGAAACCGGTGGGCACAGTCTCAGACAGAGAGGGCCTGGGGTGAATTTAAAAAAAAAACAAAAACAACAAAACCACCAACGACAAAAAAGAGAAAAATAATTTTTTGTACAGAATTTACATGATAACAAGCTTGACACAAGCTGAGATACCAGAGGCTCCGACGCCCACGTCAGTCCGCGGGGTGGGAGCAGCTCCCGCCGGAGCACTCTCATCTTGGTGAGGACTCCCGGTCACACAGTCACTTTCCAGAAATTATTTACATGCCTGCTCTGCTTTGTGGGGTATGGGGGACTTTTGTATGTTTTTTTTTGGAAGTACAAAGAAATGAGCAAAAAAGTCTTCCCACATGTTTCTACAAGAAACAATGTTCCCGAGAAAAAGTCCTTTATGGCAGCCTATATACAGAAGTTGGTTCTGAACTTCAAAAACCTATTTTTTTTCCCCTTCGTTTTGATTTTGTACACGAACAAGAAAAAAAAAAAAAAAAACCCATGGAAATAAACCTGAAGAGGATGGGAAGGGGATAAAAAAGGTTACAAGAAAAAATAACTGTCAAAGACTTAGATATGAATTTAAAATCTTTTCCAAGATTTTCCTTTCTCTGGGAGAAATAACCTGCTCACTCTGAAAATAAATATGCTCTGACCTTCTTGGGACGAGGAGGCTGCTGGCGAGGTGAGGTGGGGTGTGGGTGGGGGGCCAGCGGGTGAAACTTATAAACTAAACAATGCCACATGCATACGGTCAGACAACCTGTAGTGGCGGGGCTGGGGGACCCGCCCGCCCCCGGGAACCCCCCCGCGCCCCTGGGG